CATAACTTCATTAATATTGAAGATAAATATGTCGTGTTTGTACTCATTTTAAAGGATTTTTAATCAAGATTAGAAATATGTCAAAATTGACGTTGACATTCCTAACCGGAAGTTGACCATAACTTCATTAATATTGGAGATAAATATGTCGTGTTTGTACTCATTTTAAAGGATTTTTAATGAAGATTACAAATATGTCAAAATTGAGGTTGACATTTTAAACCTGAAGTTAGTTATTATGTATTAGACAAATGGACAACTTCATGATGTATTCTTTATTAAAAAAAATCCTTTAAAATGAGTCCTAACAAGACGCACTCATCTCAAAAAACAAAAAAGTTAGAATAAAGAACATTAAACCCGAAGTTAGCAACAATGAAGATAGCAATTTAATTTTTAAATATTACAACCTTAATTTTTGATTTTTTTTATTATATCTTTGTTTTTGTGACAACTATTAAGACATTTTATAAAAATTAAGAATATGTCAAAATGACATTGACATTTCAAACCGGAAGTTGCTTATATCTCGAGTAATATTGGAATTAAACGTATCATGTTTGGACTCATTTTAAAGGATTTTTCACGACGATTACAAATATGTCAAAATTAACGTTGACATTCTTAACCGGAAGTTGACCATAACTTCGTTAATATTGGAGATAAATATGTCGTGTTTGTACTCATTTTAAAGGATTTTTAATGAAGATTACAAATATGACAAAATTGAGGTTGACATTTTAAACCTGAAGTTAGCGATCATACAGGATGGTCCATTTAACGTGAGACAACAGATTATCTCGAAAACGGTTCATTTTACATAAAAATAAACCTAATGAAAGAGCGGATAAGAAATGCATGCAGAAATAGTAGCCAAGAAAACCTTCTAAGATGTAAAGAAAGTTTAGTAGAAGTGTTAATAAATGTATTGAAGTGGGTGGGGAAATATTTGAACATTTATTATAAATTTTATACTTGTTGTTGATTACTAAACATTTTTTATAAATAAACAATATTTAAAACTATTTGAATAAAAAAGTTATTTAGATTTTGCAAACAAAAACATAAGGTGCCATTTAAAAAATAGGTCGTGACCTTCATATGACCTTGAAAATAAGGTCAAGATCCAAAAATGTTATCGTCATATGATTTCTCCCTTCGCACCGAACAACTTTCATTTGGTTCATTTTTATGTAAAATGAACCGTTTTCGAGATAATCGCTTGTCTCGCGTTAAATGGACCAGCCTGTATAATAGAAGTTTTATAACTGAAGTTAATCTTGTGTTACTCACTTTTGCGCATTTTCTTTTTATTTTTAACGTGTTTTTTGGGTCGTCACTCTAGATTATTTTCTTCAAACATTTTTTCACGAATCATCATCATTTGGTTCTAGTTTTAGTGATTAAATTTATGCCACGACTTACAGAAACACCCTGTATGCCCTCTGTGCTTATGATAGCTGTCATCAATGTTCTGTGATAAAAATGGACAGGCACCAAACGATTCTCAATAGTTTGAGCCTGTCTATTCTGAATAGTCATATTTTTAGAGAGATGAAAACGAAAATCCCGTTTTTCTCAACATTATTCATTTGTCGCTTAGTCAAGTGATGCATAACGCGGTCCAATTAACATTTCGATTTGTTTTAAACGATTTTCTCGATGAATATTTAGATTAAAAGTTTAAATTGAAGCATCGAGATTCTGATGGCCAATAATCGAAGTTAACCAAAAAAGGGTGCTATCTAGCGTTAAAATTACTATTTAGTACGCGTTTCGAGTTAATTGTCTTAAGATCGTTGAAACTACGCATACAAATGTCCTCATTACACTGCCAATTTTCAACCTCTTGCACATTTCCGGTAGAATTAATCCGATAACAAGGTCCCTTGAGGAGAACCCTCCCATTTTCCACACACTTTCACAATCACGCTAAAACATTTTCAAAAAAAATTATATTTCAAGTCAAAACTTGTTTTGAATCATTTTCCGTTTTCTCTTTCATTACTTCGGCAAAACGGGGCGAAATGGTAAAAGCAAATTAACTGAACTCCAAAAGCTTTGAAGAGGAGCAACAACTTTTACCCCGTAGATAAGCACCGTCGCATCGCACGTGCACACACGTACAACGCATTTCAATTTGGCGGCCCTTCCCACAACCCCTTTCAAAATCACCCCCGTTCATTCCGACAGTTTCCCAACAAATTTAATCAAGGCCGGACATAACACAACAAAGAATATCTGCTGCAAAGCTTGAAACGTTTAACAGAAATTAATTATAAAACAAGTACACAAGGTGCTTTCAAACGATTTAAATTAAACTATGTAGATAAAATTAAACTGTGTATATTATTAAACTATGTAATGTTAAAAATAGAATTATCTTTTTTTAAAACGTGATCAGGTTATCTTAAAAACAACTTGTAACGTAAAAAGTTTTAAGTTTTATCTTTAATCTCAGCTCACGAAACACGTCCTAAACACACATTAAACCTTTTTCTTTGTTCATTTTAACCCGTTTTACTCGTTATTTTTTAAGTTTTACAACCATCTTGAAACTCAAAAAGGAATTAAAATAGAAGTGTGTTTACGTGCTGGTTTAAGTTTAAGCTGTAAGGGGTTTCAAAGCTTACAAATGCGCTAATTATGGGAGCTTCAGTAACCCCTTGGGCCGTATTAAACCGGAAATAGGTCCCGCCGGCTGATTTACAAGTTGATTATGGATCCATTAAACAGCGTTCCGCAACGGTGTTTCTCTTAGTGTATTCATTGGTTTACCTATGTGGTAATAATAATAAATAAAATTTTATTTATCCAATTTTTCTCCAAAGGTGGCGTTAATTTAATTTTATACAAAGAAAATTAACAGAAAAGAAATGCAACAAATTTAATACATTGACAAAGTTGCTTTTACGATTCATAAAACTCTAGTAGTAAACTTCCAAATGGGGTATTGATGTAATAAAGCGTTGTTATTGGAAAAAAGGTCAATTTTTACACTTAAACAGATGCAATATTTCTTTAAACTCTGTAAAAGAGGCGAAAGGATATTCACGAAATATGATGAAATATTTGATTTAAAAGTTTTTTCTCTTTCTCCTTTACAGCCTTAGAATAGAAATGTCAATTTGAGATATGATTTATTGCAGAGCTCCGGTTAGGATTTCTTTCAGTTAATCCCCAAGCGTCATGGTGTAAGGAGAGATTTCGAATTCCCCCTTCTTTAATTCCTTCCTTCTGCAACTCCTTTTTTGATTAATTGTTATAACTCGCAGAAATAAATAAAATATTTAATACAATATTCCGTGCCGATTTTGACACTGACAGTATTGTAATGATGCACATTCGCAGATAACTTCACGTCTGTCAATTCGAGGACGATAAAGTAGAATGCTGTACGGTTTAATTGCACGTCTCTCAATGAGTCTGATTTTAGCTTTAGGTCTTGTGTTAGTTCTAGAGCAAAACTAGAACTAGTTAGATGCTAGTTAGTATAAGATATTACTATGTTGCATATTTTTATTGTACTAAAACTAGAACTAACACTAGAACTAGAAACTAGGTCTAGTGTTAGTTCTAGTTTTACACCAGCTCTATCACTAGAACTAACCTCAAGACCTAGAACTAGAATCATTCGGGTTTAGCCGTCTTGAGAGACGTGCGGCTAAATCCGAATGTTTCTAGTTTTTGGTCATCTTACAATAAGAAAAAATGTTCAAAATCAAATAATATTGTACATAGTACAAACGATTTAGTTTAAATATACAAATGACTTACATGTGTTATCCAACTTTAACATTGTAGAAGAAAAAACTTGTAGAATCGGAGATTTTCGTTGATATTGATGTTGATTTCGCTGGATTGTAAACAAACACCTATAATACAAACAAAAATGTCAACAAAAATATTGTGGCGACATCTATTATCGACTCTATTAAATTATTTTTTTTTAATTAAATTTTATACATTTTTAAAAAAAATAATATCAGTTTCGAATAAATGAGAACATTTTCTTAAATTTCCCCTCAAAATCAAAATTATACAGATTAATTAATTAATTTATCATTTAAATTGACATTTACAAAAACCTGTAAAAAAAAGTGACAGATTTCGGTTACTTTTTAATTCTTTTCATTATTTAAAAATCATAACAAATTCATTAATTTATCGAATATAGCACAATACTAGTGAGATTTTTTGAGTTATACAACATAAAGTACAAAATATAGAAATAGAAACACGAACGACACTAATAACTAATAACAAACATTCAAAATCAAATAATATCGTAGATAATACAATTAATTTAATTTAAATACATAAATGACTTACATGTGTTATCCACCTTTAACATTTAAAGAAAAAACTTGTAGAATCGAAGATTTTCACCTTGTTTTGTAAACAAACATCTACGCAATCTACACTACAAACCAAAATCACGAAAAATATTGTGGCGACATCTATTAGAAGTATTTTAAAATATTAAATTGTTTATATTTTAAGATATTTCTTTAATAATAATTTTAATTTTAAGTTAATAAGACGATATTCTTAAATTTCACATCAAAATCAAAATTATATAAATTAATTTATTCATTTATTATGTAAATTAATTTAGGCGATTACATCTACAGAAATCTGTAAAGAACTGACTGTTTATATTTTTTAACCCCTCAAATCATGGCAAATTCATTAATTTATCGAATGTCTGATATGACAATAATAAGATTTCTTGAATTATATCGTTCAGAAGAATGTTTGTGGAACAGTAACCACGTAAATTACAAAACGAAAGATGTACGGGGTCAAGCCTTAGAATGAATTGCAAACCGACTCAATATAACAGGATTTGGCCAAGCTAAAGTAGTTCATAAGCTTAAAAATGTTCTTACTGCTACTTTTGCATCTCCAAAGGCAACAAGACGGGATTACTTTTGTAAATAAGTAATGACATGCACTGACAAGCTGTCAAACCGCCATTTTGGGTTGAATAGTTCAAATACACAGGCTTCATAAACCGCGGTACTTTGATAATCTAGGGAGTTTAATCTTAAATTATTTTAATAACAATAATACCATTAATACCAATGATAATAATAATACCATTAATAATTTAGAAACTTAAGTTATTTTGATTTTATTCGTGTAATTTGGGTTGCATACACCTAAACACATCATTTCAATCATTTAAAAAACGTTTCATTATCATAAAATAACGTTTATTATATGCAAAAATATATAATATATCCCCATTTGTCACCTTACTACTAAATTATAAAAAATAGAAATATCCCAATAACGATGTAAAGTATTAATTAAACATTCCCAATAACAACTTTTATTTTTCCATCTAAAGGTGTTTTATCGTAATCTTTAACCAAAATGCTCCGATTAAAATCGCCACTTTTTCCACCGCTCTTCTCAACCAACTCAACGTTAGTAATTACCATTCCTTTATTAACCGATTTGCACATATCATATATAGTTAAGGCTGCAATGCTAACCGCGGTTAAAGCTTCCATTTCAACCCCGGTTTTTCCTTCACACATCACTTTACCATAAATAATCACAGAGCTCGTTTTGTCATCAAGTTCCGCAATAACCTCAACATGATTTAAATTGATATTGTGACACATTGGAATTAATGAACTAGTTCTTTTTGCTCCAATTATTCCAGCAATTTCAGCACAAGTTAAAACGGCGCCTTTCTTAATCGAATTTGTTTTAATTAGAGATAAAACTTCAGATCCAACGTGGATTATTGCACGAGCTTTTGCTGTACGATTTGTTATCGATTTCGTACCAATGTTAACCATTTGTACGCTTCCACTTTCAGAGTTTATGTGAGACAATGTGCTGTGATTTCGGTAATTTGCGATTTTTTGAGGTTTCACGAAGAGATGGGGGAAGAAATGTTGATTTAAAATTGAGTTGTTGAGCTGATTTGGTCGATTAAAAGTACCTAGAACCAAAATGAAGAAAAAAAAACGAGTTTTAAAATTAAAATCATTACCTTAAAATGAGAAAATAACTAAATTACGTTTAGAGATCAACTAAATTTAAAAAGTTTAAATTTAAATCTATCCACCAATTAGAATCATCGGCCTATTCTCCATTAAATGTAAATTTTCCATGCCTGCAACAAATGCGGAAAAGAAAGACAGATAAGAATGAAAGAGAGTGTAAAAAAAGCAAGCAAAAGCACAAAAAAGCCCGATGATGGATTTAATTAATTTGGGTTAGTTGTAAAATGAAATATAATTCAAGAATCATCATGTGGCCTAAAAAACACGTTAAAAATATGCCGCACGTCTCTCAAAATGGCTAAACCCGAATGATCCCAGTTCTATGTCTTGTGTTAGTTCTAGTGCAAAACTAGAACTAGACCGAAATCTGCAAGTAATATTTAGTTTTCTATCAGTATTACAGTTTTCTACAAGCAATAAGTAATGATCTACCACCAGTATCCAGTCGTAGAAGTAAAGAAAAGAAATTAATTGAATTAAATTAATTTATTTTTTTTGTTGTTACTTTCTTAGGTTGGTAATAGTCACAGTTGGGTTATAATCGCTTGCAGATATTGTTTTATTGGTTCATTATAAACAATTTTTATTCTAAACATTAACTCGTAGCATTTTTCGTTTTCCAGTTATAACATTTCTTCATCTAAAAACCTTAATTTAGTGATATCGAGATTTTATGGTTTATAACTAAAAATTTTAAACGGTTGGAACAAAATTGTTTATGGATTATATTTTTGTGATATATTATAAACATTTTTTATTAATACTATTCTTATGCACAGTTTTTAATTTTTGAGTTTAAATCATTTTGTTGCTAAATGTCACAAATTTGAAATGTTTGGGTTTTAAACTTTCCTAGGTTGGTAATAGTCACAGTTGGGTTATAATCGCTTGCAGATATCGTTTTATTGGTTCATTATAAACAATTTTTATCCTGAACATTATCTCCTAGCATTTTTCGTTTTCTAGTTAGAATATTTTTTTTGTCCAAAAACCTTCATTTAGTGATTTTGAGATTTTATGGTTTATAACTAAAAGTTTGAAACAATTGGAACAAAATTGTTTACGGATTATATTTTTGTGATATATTATGAACATCTTTTATTAATACTATTCTTACGCACAGTTTTTAATTTTTGAGTTTAAATCATTTTGTTGCTAAATGTCACAAATTTTAAATGTTTGGGTTTTTAACTTTCCTAGGTTGGTATGGAATGTTTCTAGGTCTAATGTTAGTTCTCTAGTAACAGTGGTAGATAGCGCTAGTAGCTGTAAAACTAGAACCCCTTGAATCATATCCAAAAAAGCCATCTAGCGGCTAATTTAAAACCATTTTTAAACCTTTTTTTAATGTGTCAAAACGAAAATTAACAATTTAATAATATAAAGTGATTAATCGTAAATAATATTAATTAAACATCTAAAATGAAGTTATTTTATCAAATAAAGGTAAGTAATTACTAAAAACCCCTTATAATAAAAATTTAATCATTTTTTACTTTGACAGTTCCAACTTTGATATTAAAACTTAAAAAATGATTCAACATCATTAATTAAATAAAGATAAGTCCTTTTAGTCACATTAACCTTCCTTAAACTTTCTTTAATTCATTTCTTACTTTCTAAGAAATAAAAATGTAAAAAAATTTAATTTAATTTTAATTTGAGCGCCATCTATCGGTCATATTTTGAATCTAATTTTGCCGTTATAACCTCTATTTTTTACATAATTTCTCTAACCTATACATATGTAAAACTTCAGCATATAACTAGATTTCCTTCTTTCATCATCAACCATGTCGTTTAAAAATCGACATGATGAATCTTGAATTATATCCAAAAAAGCCACCTAGCGGCTAATTTAAAATCTTTTTTTAAATGTGTCAAAACGAAAATTAATAATTTAATAATATAAAGTGATTAATCGTAAATAATATTAATTAAACATCTAAAATGAAGTTATTTTATCAAATAAAGGTAAGTAATTACTAAAAATCCCTTTCTAATAAAAATTTTATCATTTTTTACTTTGACAGTTCCAACTTTGAGGTTAAAACTTAAAAAATGATTAAACATTAATTAAATAAAGATAAGTCCTTTTAATCACTTTAAGCTTCCTTAAACTTTTTTTAATTCATTTCTTACTTTTTAAGAAATAAAAATGTTAAAAATTTAATTTTAATTTGAGCGCCATCTATCGGTCATATTTTGAATCTAATTTTGACGTGATAACCTCTTTATTTTTGTGACTTAAAAATCGACATGATTCTTGAATTATACCAATTTGATTTACCTGCATGTTGTTTTTTCTTCTTTTTAACGGCGGCTTCAATTAAAGCAGTTAAATCATCATCATTACACCCAGCTCTCATCGCATCCCTCAAAGAAATCTCCCGATTCCCAAATAAGCAAACTTTAAGATGTCCATCAGCTGTTATTCTGAGTCGATTACAAGAATGGCAAAAATGTTCGCTCATTGAAGTAATAAAACCAACTTGGCCTTCAAATCCGGGTACTTTCCATCCTTTTGAGGTATCATTTGGGCCGTTTGGGAGTTGATAAAAATCCGGGTGTGTTTCCTTGATTTTTTCTAAGATATTTTTATAAGGAAACATTTTTTTGATTTCCCATTTATTTCCGCTAAATGGCATGTACTCAATAAATCGTATATCGATGTTTTTATTTTCTGTTAAATTCACAAAATCAATAATTTCGTCATCGTTAAACCCTTTAATTAAAACGCAATTTATTTTAACGGGTTTATATCCGAGTTGTAGCGCTAAATCAATGCCCATTTTAACTTTTTCTAAACCTTTCCTTCGCGTTATTTTCTCGTATCGTTCCGGTTTTAAACTATCGAGGCTTACATTGATGATATCGAGACCGGCTCTTTGTAAAGCAACTAATTGTCTTGTTAAAACTATTCCGTTAGTGGTCATTGCAACGGTTTCTAAACCTGGAATGCTTTTTAAAGTTGCTAAATCCATAAAAAGAAAATAAATAATGTAAACATAACCTCAAAAATTAATTTTTTTAATTTTTACCTATTATATCAACTAAATCTTTACGTACAGTGGGTTCACCACCTGTTAAGCGTATTTTATTAACTCCTTCTTTAACGAAAAGTTTTGCAACGCGTACAATTTCATCCAAAGTTAGTAAATTTTGTTTTGGACTCAAAGTAACACCTTCGGCTGGCATACAATATTGACCTTTTTGGAAGAAAATAAGAATTAAGTTTATTAAATAACCTTTAATGTGTTTACTTACATCTTAAATTACATTTCTCTGTTAGAGAGATGCGCAAATAATTGTGAAATCTACCGAAAGTGTCGGTTAATGGGTTAATTTTCTGTTCGATATTGAGATTATTTAATGGAACACTACAGTAAGTTCTTTTTATAAAATTACGAAGCATTTTAAGTTAACGCGAAAAGTTATAATGTTTTGTCCTTTTCGCTGACCTCGTTAATTTATAGAAAATGAATTAAATTGTGTTTACTTAATGATGTGTATGTAGGCAACCCATTTCACACTTTAGATTTAAATTTAAATATGTTGACATTTAGCAACAAAATGATTTTAAACTCAAAAATTAAAAACTGTGCGTAAGAATAGTATTAATAAAAAATGTTTATAATATATTACAAAAATATAATCCATAAACAATTTTGTTCCAATTGTTTCGAATTTTTAGTTATAAACTATAAAATCTCGATATCACTAAATTAAGGTTTTTGGATGAAGGAATATTATAACTGGAAAACGAAAAATGCTCTCAATACATTTTTACATATAATAAACGTTGTTTTATAATAATGAAACATTTTTTAAATCATTGAAAGGAATGATATATTATATGGTTAGGTGTATGCAACCCAAATAACACGAATAAAATCAAAATATCTGAAATTCTTAAATTATTAATTATATAAATAAATTGTATTTAATTGTAATAACATTAAATAAGAAATAAGTTATTAAAAAATAGTTAATTATTGTTATTAAAATAATTAAAGAAAACTTTGAAGCGCCATCTAGTAATGAAAATTTTATAATTTATGAATATTATAAAAATACTTTCTTGAAGTAAGTAAAATGTTATTAATTATGAAATAAATTAAAATAGGATTAATATTAAAACATGATTAAAAATTAAATCAATAAATAATTGTAAAATAAATTAATGTATCGCAAAGGGCGCCATCTAGTAATTAAATTAAAAACTAATTTTGACTTTGAGACTTTGACACCTCTCTATTTTGATAAGCTCATATACTTATAATTATTATTTAATGCTTTAATTTGTGTTTAATCAACCAACAAAAACGAGCAATAACTAATTAAGATAGGAAATTAGTGATATAAAAATGAATTAGTAATCATCGTCAACAATGGTAAGTTTTTATTTTGTTTTGAGTGAACATAACCTAAAATTTTCGTTTTTAAGGAACCAGTTCGTACAAGTACCCCAAAATTGGGCGTTAATAAAATAATCGGTCGTAAATCAATTCACGATCCTCCATGTCCATCTCCTATAAACACAATGGAAAGCCCTTTCGATTTAAAAAATAAAGAAAATGTAGAATCGGAAATTGATGAAAATGAAAGCGATGATGAACAACAAAAAGAAATTGAGGATGGAGAGGAAGAAAATCTTTGTGATGAAGAGGAAAGTGTGAAATCTCCTTCTCGAATGTCAGTGGAAAAAAAATTAGATGAAAAAGAGATAATTTATAAACATTTTTTCAAGAATGTAAACATATCAGTAATTGTGGGGGTTTTAATTCTGATAATAATTTTAGTTTTATATCCAATTAACCAAGAAACTAAAAGAGATGATGGAAAAATGGAAATAACTAATTTAAAAAGATTTTATCCACATCAAAACCCAAATTTATGGTACTACATAACAAGTAATATTAAAGATGTGTTGCGATATAACAAACCATCAGTAATCTTATTTTTATACTTAAAAAATCAAGAAAAAACAACAAACGAATTAATTTTAACAATTTCTCGAATTGCACAAAAAAATCTGAATGAAAACGCTTTAGAACCTTTAATAATAAACGGTTTAGAATTGAATACAAATTCATATTTAAAAGATTATGGATACTTAATTGAAGATTATAAACCTATTCTTGAAGAAAGAAATGTTTTGGCTGTGAAAAATTTAGAATTGGTTTCATCGAATGTATCGCAAGCTTTCCATTATTTATGTGATGAATTTAATCCATTGGTTAGGAAGAGTTTTATTGTTTTTACAGTGAAAGTTGAAAAATTTATTGGGAAGGAATTTGATCAAGCTGGAATAGTTTTAAGAAATGTTTGGAGAGATCTAGAGGATGATAAATTAGAAGCTCTTATAACTAGGGTGACCAATTTGGTTTTAAGAATTAATCCAGAATAGAAATAAATTTTTTTATAATGTAATAAATTATTGTAAAAAGGAGTTAATAAATTTATTAAAACTAGTTTTTATTTTTAATTATTTTAATTACAGACAACGAGTTAAAATTATACATTCAAAAAAAAACTCTTACACGTAAAAACATGCAATAATAAATTTAAGATTAATTCAAATCGAATTTAACAAGAAAGAAAAAACACGATTATTGTGCGTTAATTAATTAATTATTTGAAAATATATATATTTTGATAAGTACATCTTATAAAAGAAATAATTAAACAACTATTCAACCATTAATAATATAAGTATATTGTAGTTTTAAAGTACATTTATAAGTTTCTTTTATTTTGTAAAAACAGAAAACATAAAAATGTTGTTTTAATTAATTATATTTGCTTTTTATGTTCTTTATATACAAAAAAAAATCTAAAAATCATTTACATTTTGAGAAGAAAATTCGTTTCCTCCAAAAAAAATCTAATCAATATTTAATATTACCATTTGAGATTGCACAAAATCTAACATTGTTATTGCACAATCATTTAATTCTTTTAACTAATGAGTATTTATAAAAAATATCTTTAAATTTGAAACTTTTTTAGCGAGAAAAAAATGCTTTTTGTTATATTATAAGTACTTCTAAGAAGAATTAAGATCTCTCTTAATGTTATTGGCATCTTTTGGACGGAGTATTTCCAAAATTAATTGTGAATATTAACCAAATCATTTAAATATTAAATTGTATTTACAGTGATGGAAAAAATTCTATGTACAGCATTAAATTATCAGGTTTTTTATAAAATATAATAACATAATAAAAAATTAGTATTACATAATAAACATTTTATTATTAGTAAACATAATAAAAATTTTAATTGTCAAATGGAATGACAATAAATGAGTTGTCATTTTGACTTGACGGAATCTGTGTCAACTGTCAATAGATGGAGCCACGATTAATTTTAATTAAATTTGCCGCCATTTTGGCTCGAAAGTCAAAAAAGAGTTAACAACTCTTCTTACTGCTATTTTTGCAACTCCAAAGGCAAAAAGACAGCATTATTCTTGTAAATAAGTAGTGATAAGCTGTCAAACCGCCTACTTTGATAATCTAGGGACTTTATTTCTAATTAAAAAAGTGATACTGGTGTCTAATAACTTGTATTATTGAGTTGGTAATTATTATCTTATCACGTTTTACCAAAAACCTCATAATTTAATGTTGTATATATGTAGACTTTTGACCACCAGTGTACGTGTTTAGGTATCGTGTTCGGTGTGAGTAAGAACTCTTTAATTATACGTATTATATCTCTCTTACGAAAAAGAAGTTATTAATAGCACACATTTTAATAATTATTATTATTATTACAAGTTTGCGAATAAAACGTGATCTTAATTAATAAAAAATATTAATTAATACCTACCTATAAATATTTTTAACAATTCTTTTTATCGTTATTGCTGCAATTCAACAATTTTTAAACATATCCAAGAATTCTTTAATTTCAACAATTTTGAGTGATGTCAATTGAGCGCCATCTATGTTTAATTCGTCGAGGTTTTATTAAACCCGATAAAGTAGAAAACTGTTCTTTTTTTAAATTAAATTTAATTTATTTATAAAAAATTCTTGAATATTATTAATCTTTAAATATAAGGCACTTTTGAAAAGATATTGGCACGTTTTTTTTATTTATTAATTAATTAAATTTTTTGTTTTTTTGTACTTTACGAAAATAATAAATTATCGAAATTATTATTATTATTTTTCGATAATAAAAAAAGGAGTCAAATAAGTAAATAAAATAAAATCTGTTAATTAAAAAAAATTAATTAGAATCGCTCGGATTCTATTTTAGTTAAAATTAATTTGCTTTGTGCGTTTAATCCGTCTTTATCTACTTTATATACAGGATGTTTCAGTTTATGTGGGTTATACAGGGGGTGATTTATAATATATGGAGAAAATATTTTTTTAATAATGTTTTGACCACAACTTAATAAACTTACTTTAAATTCAAATTGCGAATATTTCATAATTAACACAAATATTAAAATCTTTGTAATATGATACTATATACGTCAAAATTAGAATTATTATAAATCAAAAAGTACAAAAGCAATTTCTAGTAACGTGGAATAAGTTTTTCTGAATCCACTGATGTACAGGGTGGTTCAAATTCGATGTCTAAATAGGCTATCTTGGAAACTATAAGAGTTAGAAAAAAAGTAGCTTATATGTCATGATCTCGTTTTTCGAGAAACTGCTAATTCCGAAAACCTCAAAGCGTTATCGTCTTTTGTTTTTCCTCTAGAGGCCAAAATTGAAATTATCGTAAAACGAACAAGTGCAATTATTTTGGTTATTATTATAGATGGAGTATTATAATTAAGACATTATATGGACACTTTTTTACAGAGAATTTGATGACGTAGTCAAAAAAAAATTTTCGGTTTTAGATTTTGAAATATCATGACGATTTTCGTTTTTTTAAATGGAAACAACCAGATTATTCGCTTATTAAATTCGTTATTTTTTTCTGATTACAAAAATATAGGGTTTGACAGGTCTATTTCTTATTGTTTTAGAATAAAGCTAAAAATAAACCTTTTTTTTAGTGTCGTCAAAGAAATTAAATTTACAGTTTCCTGTAAATTATAACTAAAAATTAAAAAAACATATTTATGATATTTAAAACAAATAACATTCGTTGAACTATTTCATTTATATTTGTTTTAAACAAAAGTTGGAATAGATTGCATTATTTCACATTTTTTATTAATATTTAATATTATTATTATTAAATGACTTAATAAATTATTGATAGATGGCGTTCATATACATTTTTTTTAATTTAAAAATTTTCTGAAGTGTCAAATTAAAAATCCTGTTTTTTAAGATGGATTACGAAAAGTTTAACATAACTTAAAGTAATAACAATAAAGTAAATTTTTAGTAGAATAATCTTTAGTTATAATACCGTAATTTACAGGAAACTGTAAATTTAATTTCTTTGACAACACTAAAAAAAAGTCTATTTTTAGTTTTATTCTAAAACAATAAGAAATAGACCTATCTAACCCCATATTTTTGTAATCAGGAAAAAATAACGAGTTTAATAAGCGTATAATCAGTGGTTGTTTCCATTTAAAAAAACGAAAATTGTCATAATATCTCAAGATCTAAAACCGAAACAATTTTTTTGACTACGCCATCAAATTCTTTGGATAAAAGTGTCCATATAATGTCTTAATTATAATACTCCACCAATAATAATAACCAAGATTTGATGGTTTTATGATATTTTCAGTTTTGGCCTCTAGGGGAAAAACAAAAGACGATAGCGCTTTGAGGTTTTCGACATTATAATTTATTTAAAAAAAGAGATCGAGACATGTAAGCTACTTTTTTTCTAACTATTATAGTTTCAGAGTTAGCCTATTCAGACATCGAATTTGAACCACCCTGTACGTGTAAGAACGTCTAAGAAAGGACTAAATGTAAAAGAAATTCTAGAAATTGTTGATGCAGATCCGAGTATTAATCAAATTTCTTACAAATTTGAAGTAAAGCACTTTAAAAATATGTTATAAATACTTGTTTTCGAGATTTTGTGATTTTGCTGAATATCAGCGGTTCTCAAAATTTTAAGACGTTAAGTTATTTAAAAGATTAATATGCGATATCCAAGTTGTTAACAAAACATTATTAAGAAAATCTCTTCAATTTGGCCCTTTTAGTCAGCTTCGTGTGTTATAAATCACCCTGTATATGTATCCTGAACATCCTGCTTATTTTATTAATTAAATTTAGTTATTAGTGATGTATTTTTCATAGTTTAAATGAAATTATTTTTTTTTAGAAAGTGTTAGACAACATACCATCCCAAGGAGAAGTAGTAACAATTCCGCTTCTTTAATTTTAGTTTCTATTTAATATTTTTCGGACGCTCGCACAGTAGAGGTTGGTAGTAGAGTAGTAGTAGGTGGGGTGTCTGTGGTGTTAGCACTCCAAGCCTTAGGGTCAACGGTGAACGAGTGGGTGGTGTTAACAGAAAAGAAAAGAAAAAAAAACAGTTTGTTAGTATCCGATTTGATTTAATTTTCTTAAAAAATTATGATTAATTAATTACTAAGAGCTAAACCAAAAATAAATTTAACTTTTTATTCAATTATTGATTAATTAATTAAGAGCGGTTTGATTAAATTTATTTTTGATTTCTTTTTAATAATGTAAAAAAAATTAATAAATGAGATTTTACAAAAAGCGATTATTTTAATTTCTTTTGTAAATAAGTGGAATAAGCGACAAAAGTGTGGTGTGCTTAATTATGTTGTGTATGTGTGAGAAATTAAAAAAAATTAATTAAAAATTAATTAAAAAAAAATCCCCTCCCATTCATTCAAGAAAATTAATCAACGAAATTCGATTAATAGTGTTATTATACTTGGCCATGTGGTCGATAAAAAAATGTTAAAGTTAATTTGATTAATTAATTAATTAATTGAGAAAAAAATAATGTTAATAAGACACCATTTCTACAATTATGGGAAAAAGAGAAATATTAAAAATAACATGATTAATTAAAAATTAATTAATTCGAAAAAAAAAAAGAAAACAATGTTGTTTTTCGTTTTTCTTATAAATATATTTGTCCACTTTGGCTCAAGTCAACAACATATACAAAAAAAATATATATTATAATCACTATATTTATCGAAATGTTTTTAAAAATTTGATTTAAAGTGCAAAATTAAAAAAAAATCTAATAAGAAAAAAAAAATTATAGAATTAAAGAGAGGTTGAGAACTTAAATTTTTAACCGTTTGAATCTAAATAAGGACTAGAACTTCAGCCTCTCTTAAAAATAAAAAAAACAATTTAAAAAATCCTTTCACAACCCGTTTTTTCATTATTTAATAAATAAAAATTTATTTTTGGGGGAAAATTTAAATAAAAAAAACATAAAATAATTGAAAGAAAATAAAAATACTGAAGTGTTTTATGTGTATCGCGATAAAATAATAAAAAAAGTAAACAACAACAACCTATACATTTACGATATAAGATTTAAAATATTTAAAATAAAGAATGTAGTGGTGTAAAAACGAGAAAAAATTAATAAACTAAATATGTTATTACTAATATTTCTGTATTAATGAGTTCAGTTTTTGTAGTGAAATATTTAATAGAAAAACTCTAGAAAAAAGTGGATTCATCTTCAAATCAGAAAATCTTCTCTGTGGACATTTTATTCATAAGAATTTCTGGAACGTGTCGACTTCAAGAACTTACATTTATAAATACAAACAACGAACCTAAGATCCTTGGATTATTTTTAATTCAAAAATATGGAGAGATTCCGTTCAGCACCGCTAATAACGCCAATAAAGGAAGTAGAATGTACAGGGTGGTTCAAATTCGTTGTCCGAATAGGTTAACTCGGAAACTATAAGAGTTAGAAAAAAAGTAGCTTATATGTCTCGATCTCTTTTTCTAAATAAATTATAATGTCGAAAACGTCAAAGCGCTATCGCCTTTTGTTTTTCCTCTAGAGGCCAAAATTGAAAATATCGCAAAATCAGCAAGTGCAATTATCTTGGTTATTATTATAGGTGGAGTATTATAACTAAGACATTATACGGATACTTTTTAACAAAGAATTTTATGACGTAGTCAAAAAAAAATTTTCGGTTTTAGATTTTGAGATATCATGACAATTTTGGTTTTTTTAAATGGAAATAACCACTGATTATTCGCTTATTAAATTCGTTATTTTTTTCTGATTACAAAAATATAGGGTTTGACAGGTTTATTTTTTATTGTTTTAGAATAAAGCTAAAAATAAAGTTTTTTTTAGTGTCGTTAAAGAAATTAAATTTACAGTTTCCTGTAAATTATAACTAAAAATTAAAAAAAACATATTTATGATATTTAAAACAAATACATTTGTTGAATTATTTAATTTATATTTGTTTTACACAAAAGTAGGAATAGATTTTTAATTCAAATAAACATAGCAACATTTGTTTGTTTACAAAAATTTTCTGAAATGTCAAATTAAAAATCCTGTTTTTTTAAGATGGATTATAAAAATTACGAAAAGTTTAACATGTTAGAATGTTACATATTAGAAAATAAAGTACATTTTATATAAATTTTTAGTAGAATAATTTTTACTTATAGTACGACAATTTACAGGAAACTGTAAATTTAATTTTTTTGACGCCACTAAAAAAAACTTTATTTTTAGCTTTATTCTAAAACAACAAGAAATAGACCTATCTAATCCCATATTTTTGTAATCAGAAAAAAATAACGAATTTAATGGTTGTTTCCATTTAAAAAAATGAAAATTGTCATGATATCTCAAAATCTAAAACCAAAAAATTTTTTTTGACTATGCCATCAAATTCTCTGTAAAAAAGTGTCCATATAATGTCTTAGTTATAATACTCCACCTATAATAATAACCAAGATAATTGCATTTGCTACTTTTACGATATTTTCAATTTTGGCCTCTAGGGGAAAAACAAAAGACATTAGCGATTTGAGGTTTTCGGCATTAGCAGTTTCTCGAAAAACGAGATCATAACATGTAAGCCACTTTTTTTCTAACTCTTATAGTTTCCGAGATAGCCTATTCGGACATCGAATTTGAACCACCCTGTATTAGTACTCATCAAATTTCCTTGCCTATTTTTTGGAAAATTCAGAAAAATATTTAGCAGACTACAAGAACAATGGGATTAATTTTAAATGTGGGATTTGTATTTATAAAACAATTTGCAGACCTATTCTTGATTATGAAGCTCCCATATTCCTTAATATCAGCAAAAAGGCGACGTCGCAACTAGAAGTAGCAGAAAGATCAGCGATTAGAATAATATCCAAAGTTCGAAACCCCAGAAATCAAATTAAACCAAATTATTCCCATTACTCAACGAATATCTCTCATCGTACAAAAAGCTTACAAAAATATGTCCTCAAAATATGTCTCCTCTTTTCCAATCCTCAAATTTTGACACTATTTACAAGAAAATCGTGGATTCCTAAAAGATGACTTATCACTGGAACATGGACTGAAGGATCCAGCTTCAAAGTTTAACTTTAAGTTTTCATTGTATAATAATATTATTTAATTTTTAATTGTATTGTGATAAGCTGGAATAAATATCTTTCTCTCTCTATTCAGCAGCTTCTCTAGGATTCATAGAGAAGGATCATAGGATTCTTTCAAAAACGGAAAGTGCAGTACTCAGCCAGTTAGCAAAAACTCATTTGGAGCGTAGATTTAGCATTATCTAGCATTATTATATTGCGATTTATTTAAGACTTCCAAATTCTTCATCGCCCTTCATAATACCCAACAATTTTGGCAAACCATGAAAGCAACATTTTAAATGTCAAGCGATAAAATGGTAGTGGCTAAAAGTTATATTGAAGATTCTGTCAACACCAAAATAAAAACAGCTAAGAAGATTCTTGCAAATTTCCAGAATAAAAATCAGATGCCATCAATATCTACAACACCGCTAGTAACGCCAATAAAGGAAGTATCCTTCTTTTACCGCCAACCTTATCTTCCCACAACAACAAGAAATTGTGACAATGTTGAAATAGAATTTTTGAAGAATTTGTGGACTTTATTTTCTTATTTTGATGTTTTTGTTAAAAAAAAAACTTTGCAAAAACTTTTACATCCTTAGAGCTGTAATATACTGAATTACGTCGCAAAAGCTAATCCATAAGAAGGCAAAATAATTTCCATCGCAGTGCTAATGCCATAATTCGAATGTGTTTCTGCGTCTGAAAGGAAATTAATGGTTGCTGGTCGACATGGAGTGAATGTAGAAGAAGAAATTCTAGAAATTGTTGATGCAGATCCAAGTACTATGTAGTACTAATCAAATTTCTCACCAACTCAAAACGCAGGCAAGTGTTCCAAAGATGTTCGCCTTGGTTATTTTTGTGTCAACGTCAAGAACTTATATTCTTAAAAGTTAACTATGTTGAAAATTCGAATTTGGCAATACTTATTAAACTGAACGAGACTAAATCATGATCATCAAAAACATTTACAATTATAAACAATGAACCTAAGTGTCTTGGCTTATTTTTAATTCGAAAATATGCCAATATAACGCCAATAAATGAAGTAGCAGATCCTTTTTTTTGCAACCAACCTCGTTTTTCTCGTCGACATGGAGTGAATGTAAAAGAAGAAATTCTAGAAATTGCCGATGCAGATCCAAGTACTAATCAAATTTCTCACCAATTCAAAGCGCAGGCAAGTGTTCCAAAGATGTTCTCCTTGCTTATTTTTTGGAAAAATCAGAAAAATATTCAGCAGCTTCTTTATGGACTCATAGACTCTCATCATAGGATTTTTTGTTTGTTTCTAAAAAGCAAAATGACTCATTTGGAGCTTAGCTTTACCATTACATTGCGATTTATTTAAGACTTCCAAATTCTTCATCGCTTTTCAACCTCCGCAATGCTTTTGGTAAACCATGGAAGCAACATTCTAAATGTCAAGTACCATGGGGGTGGCTAATAGTTATATTGAAGAAGTGAAAAATAGCTAAGAAAATTTTTGCAAACTGCCAGAATAAAAATCCCTCTTTTGCCACCAACCTCATCATCCAACAAAAAGAAATTGTAATCAGAAATTTGAAACTACTCGAAAATCATGTTAATAATTTTATTGTTGAAGATTTTCTGAATTTTTTATAATAATAATGCGAATGTGTTTCTGCATCTGAGAGGAAATTAATCGCAACACGTGTCATTTTGACTTCGAATTTGTGCCTCAAATTGGTGAAAAAACGAGACACAATTTTCGTTCAAGATGCCGAAAGTTTACTTTAAGCAGCACCCTTACACTGAAGATGACATTAGAAAGGCATTAAGACTGATTGAAACAAAAAGCTGTCTTTGAGACAATTTGCAAAGAAGTTTCAAATAGATACAGTACAGCTCAAAAGATTTTCGATCACCCAGTCTGCTGTATTCAGAGTTCTTAAGAACTGCCATACTCATAGAAGCTTTGTGACGAAGAAACGACCAGGAAGGAGGACGAATCCTAGGCTCGGCGTAGTGGATGTTAACGGAATTGTGGCACTTAGGACAGCGTCAGCCATCTCATCAGCGATAATCAAGAGAAAGTTGAATGCTGCTTGGTCGTGGTAGAAATTGTTTATATCCAGCTCATCTGGAGCGACGAAGCAAGTTCCTGATGTTTGGAATTGATGGCATATCATGAACTCTGATACCCATTTCGATCCCAAGTACCAATTGGTCACCATAAAGCACAGAGGTGGAAGCATCATGGCGTGGGGGTGCTTCAAAGCTATCGGAACGGCGCACCTTATCTGGGCATGCTTCCCTGGGCATGCAAAAACATGGATCGAGGTTGTGTTTCACTTCAGAGATGTCGCCAACTGGTTCGCGCAGGATACTCTGAAACACAAGCCGAAGGTCGTTCGGGCCAGATGATGAAAAATTCCGACAGTTGCAGGCAGAAAGGGATATTCCACTAAGTATTAAGTTGATGTTTACATAAAATTGCTATTGAATACTCCAGAGTACAGAGCTTCTAGAAATATCTTATGTTTCCACGATTATTGGATTTGTCATTTTGTGTTATTTTGATAAATTATTTTGCTTATAAAAACTGATGTGAGTTTGATGTTCAAAACATGTTGGAATCATGTAAAATATCTTCCGAAATGCTACTGCACACATAAAACAAAAATATGATACACTTTTGAGCGGTACTGTAAGTTGGTATAGAAATGGAAGCAAATCTGAGCCAGAAAGTTATGGCCAATTGGCAATGACTAATCCAGAGATTTTAATTTGAGGAACAAACTGAGCCAGAAAAAGCTAGAACAGTTGGAAGAATCTTGAAGTGTTTCCACAAATGATCCCTTCATTATCTATAGGTTTTACGAAAAGTTTTCGAATTGATAAATGCATGAAATTTAGATGAAATAAGTTTCTTTTCGAACCCATACAGAGTGAAGCGAGTCGTGAAGAGCAATACAAAATACTACATTGCAAAAGTAGAAGAAAGGATGGAAAATTTAATGTCAAGTAGCTGTTGAAGAAAAATACTTAGTAGAAATGGAAATCATTCAAAGCAACCTTCCTGCTCTGCCACAACATGGAGGAACAGGACGCACTGAAAAACAAACTTATATTTGATGTAGATTTCAGCTTCAACTTAAAAGTCTTTATGAGACAAATTACATATTTCTACTCTACTGATATACAATGTACATTGGTGCCTCTAACATGTTTAATTCGAAAATTTGGAACCATATGATTCTTGCAAATTATAGAAAATACGAAAGATTACAATTTTATCTCGTTTTTACACCACTACACCCTATAAAAAAAACAAAGATATGTAATAATAATAATAATAATAATAATAATAGAAATAATAGAATATAAGGTGATTACGATCTTGTGATTTCATTTAAATCATTATTAAAAATATCTTAATAAAAGTTGCATAATTAATTTTTCTAATACAAGTCAATGTCAAATTTTTTAGGTTGGTAATATCTAAACGTCAATTTGACATAACTTGATTGGTTAATATAGGTTATTATCGTATTATGTAACTTTTGTTAAGAAGATATTTTTACATAAATGACCCAAATAAAATCAGAAGAAAGTAAAAATCCTTATTTAAAAAAAAAAATGATTATGAAACTAACCTTTTCCGTTCATAAATTTTTAAGTTAAGACAACGCACCAGCCCTGGGATACGGGTGGTCGCGCATTTGCCCCAAATGCCTGCGCTGTTTCGCCGCAGCACCTACGCATATAGCCGTTTATCATTAAAAAACATCTCAATCTTTCAAAAAATAAAAAAATAATAAAAATACGATAACGCAAAAATACAATTTGAGTTACGATATAAAAAGTTGGTATACAGAAAAATCTTAAGATTAAAAAAAATTACGTACAAAGTACTAATTATAATAATAATAATAGATATATATTTTTTTTAAGTGTTTAAGTAATAATAATACTAAGATATAAATTTATAAATAAGAATATGATGTATTATATTGTGATGTAATATAAAAAAGCACCAAATATTGTGATGTATCCTAATTTGTTTTGTAACGTAAAGCTGAGGTAAAAAAGACTAAATTATTTTAAAAAAATGCAATTAAAAATTTGATAACTCAACTTCCAATATTTATATGTACAGGTGTCCAGCAACGATTTTACAATACTTCACCCGTGGTCCGAAAATAAATCATTAGTGAGATATTTAAAATTTTAGTTACATAAGTTAATAATAAATGGTTTTGAGAAGAATTGAAGAAAATGTCTCAACCAGCATTAGAAGGATTTCTGTACAAGAAAACTTTTTATGATGGCGAAAATAACATAACAGAACTCATAATTACATACATTTTTAACAAAATGATCCTACAAGATTACTACTTTATGCATGATGGAGCACCGCCACATACTTAGATGACAAATTTGGCAATAAGTGGATTGACCACCTCGTTCACCAGATTAAAAAACACGTTAAAAATTAAAAAAAAAGCGACTAACACTAGATTAACTTCAGTTATAAAACTTCTATTATATAATAACTAACTTCAGGTTTAAAATGTCAACCTCAATTTTGACATATTTGTAATCTTCATTAAAAATCCTTTAAAATGAGTACAAACACGACATATTTATCTTCAATATTAATGAAGTTATGGTCAACTTCCGGTTAAGAATGTCAACGTCAATTTTGACATATTTGTAATCGTCGTGAAAAATCCTTTAAAATGAGTCCAAACATGATACGTTTAATTCCAATATTACTCGAGATATAAGCAACTTCCGGTTTGAAATGTCAATGTCATTTTGACATATTCTTAATTTTTATAAAATGTCTTAATATTTGTCACAAAAACAAAAATATAAAAAAAAAAAATAAAAAATTAAGGTTGGTATTAATATTTAAAAATTAAATTGCTATCTTCATTGTTGCTAACTTCGGGTTTAATGTTTTTTATTCTAACTTTTTTGTTTTTTGAGATAAATGCATCATGTTTGGACTCATTTTAAAGGTTTTTTAATGAAGATGACAAATATGTCAAAATTGACGTTGACGTTTCAAACCGGAAGTGATTGTATTTCCGTTAATATTAAAGTTAAATATGTCGAGTTTGGACTCATTTTAAAGGATTTTTTATGAGGTTGACAAATATGTCAAAATTAAAGTTGAAAGTCGAACTTTTTGGCTTTTTGAGATAAATACGTCAAGTTTGGACTCACTTTAAAGGTTATTTTATAAAGATTACGAATATAATTAGTTAGTTCTAGTTTTAGTACAATAAAAGTGTTATTAAATGAAGTGTCGTCAAAATGTTATTAAACTTGATTATAATTATTTAGAAAACAAGGTTCGAATTGATGTGGCAACAAGGTTAATTATTACACCTTCTGATAGCGAAACTGTTAAAATTTATCAGAATATTAGTTGTGGGTCGGTTAATCCAATAAAAGTGAATAGATCGTTATTGATTTTTCCTTTCTGGGAATTTTTTCTGAACAAATATCGTACCAACTGTAAATGGTGCGCATGTTGAACATTTATTATGACATCATTCTTTTTCAATTTGTTAAATATTCCTTGTTTTTATGCTGGTTGAAGGATTTTTTTCAACAATCTCGAAAATGGACCATTTAGAATATGCTGGTGAAGTATTGTACAATCGTTGCGGGACACCTGTATATTAAATATGTGTAATATGTATAAAATTAAATGGCAAAAATGCGTCTTGTTCGCATTAAAAATTAAAATAAAAAAATAACTAAAAATCTTAATAATAATAATAATAATAACAGCGGGTACGTATCGATAAAAAATATACATAACATTGCTCTAAAAATTGACTATGAAACGGTTTGACCAGAGAGGTATATTCTGAGGTTTCGTTAATTATCCTTCCTTTGCAATCATCTTTTGGCTCCTACTTTAGTACCTAATTATATTTTAGCGGTTTAAGTTCAAAAAAATAAAATAAAATTATCACAGGAAACAATTAATTACAAATATAAAAGAATAAAAACTTTGTAAAAAAATGTACAAAAAAAATGCAACCGTGTCTATTTAAAATTTGAAATGAAAATGAATACAGATATATATTAGGTACTTGAGTAGTATCAAAAATGGCACTTAACTCATTATACTAACCTTAGCACTCCTCCGAAAGTATTTGTAAAAAGTAAAAATTGAACTCACTTAACAATCTAAACTCGCAATAATAATCTAATATATAAAATATACAAGCACCTAATCAAAAAGTACTCGAGTGCACAACAAATAATAATATAAAATTCTTTTAAAAAAAAAAAATAACAACTACTAATACGGAAAAATCTAATAAATAAGATTTACTAAAATCCTATTATAGCACCAAGAAACGTAATTAAATTTAAAATAGTCATCGACTCGTAATAATTTAATAATTTTAAAGCAATGACTTAAATTAAAAAGAAGTGCAAGTTGGTTGCATACGCAATTTAATTAATTAAAAAAGTTACTTCTAATTTCTTTCTTCACCTTAAAATATAACTTAAAAAACTAAAATCTAATATAAAAAGAAAGAAAATTAAAAAAATTAAAGAGTAAAAAAGAAATGTCTAACGTGCAAACAACCCACCCGAATGGTCAGCAGTGGCGTACTCCGTAAGCAGCGGTGTGGCGGCTAACGCCGCGTAATTCGTGTACTCTGCCGGAAATGGGGTGTAAAGTAACCCGTGGGGGTCGCCGGAAATCAGAGGAGGCCCCGAACCGTTCAATATCGAAGCTGCTGTTGTCGGCACCGCGGACATTCGTGGTGATAATATTAAGGGGGCCCCCAATGGGGCGGTCGGCGTCCTTAAAGGTGTTGCTAAACCGGGTATCGCCGGTGATAATAACCTTTGTGTTTCCGCGGCGGCAGCGGCTACCCTCCTCCATTCTTCATCACACGCTGTAAGATCTTTATTTAAAAAAAAAATTAATTAATAAAAGTAAAAAATTATTTATATACACATAACTGGTTCGTTAGAACTTTTTCAGGTTCCACTATTCGTAGAGATTTGAAACTGAGAATAACGGGTTGTTTATTTGGAAGTTTCGATTTAAATATTTTCAAGATGGCCGCCAAGTAGACCGGAAGTAGATCATAACTTAATAATAATTAATGAACTGTTTATTGAGCCAGAAATAATGATAGCAAAAACAAGATACAAAATTATTTGACCAGAAACAAAAAAAAAAGAAAAAATATAATACTAAAATAAATAAAAAAGTATTCAAATTACAAAAGGTAGCAACATTACAACTGATTTTAACTTGTACCAACCCAAAGAAAAACAGAAAAAAAAACTAAATCGTATACTGAGTAGCATTTAAGAAAAAATCAAACAAACCATCAAAAACAACAAAAAAAAGTAAAATCAAAATTTACAATTCTCATCCTCAACTTTCATTCAAAAATCAAAAGTTAGTAATCAACCGCCTAAACTGCGCGTCAGAATTCAGAATTCAGCTTAACCAACTAAGGCCCACTTTTACCACCTCTTGATAAATTTATCCGATAGATAAATCCAGCTCTTAGCCAATGAGAACGCTTAAAACCGCCGTAACCATGGCAACTATCCTCTAGATAGTTTATCAGGAGGATGGTAAAAGTAGGCCTAAGGCTCGTTACTACTATCTTCTGGTTAAGCTATCTAAGGGATTATTACTATGGTTACGGCTATTTCACGCGCTCTGATTGGCTAGTAGATGGGTTTATCTGTAAGATAAATTTAACTAAAAGATGGTAGTAATGGACCTAAGGCCCACTTTTACCACCTCCTGATAAATTTATCCGATAGATAAATCCAGTTCTTAGCTAATGAGAGCGCTTAAAACCGTGGTAACCATGGCAACTATCCTCTAGATAGTTTATCAGGAGGATGGTAAAAGTGGGCCTAAATCCTATTTGATAGATAACTAGCGAATAGCTTAACTGACAAGTAATAAATTATATGACGATTTTAAATGATAATTGAACAAAAATATCTATGTATAGGTATTATACAATAAGTATGTTCGTTATTTTAAATAGAATGCTATATGACTTTGTAAAAGTTATTGGTACCTAGCGTTTTTCGTTTTCACCATGCTCTTTAAAACCCCTTATCCCAGGTAACATTCATTCAAAAAAGCTCTAAATTGACACCTTTACTCTTTAGATGCTATCAAATAGATTGTCATTTGTTGTATCGGAGTATCTTATACAGGGTGGTTTTTGACAGGTTTTTGTCCATGTTTGTATTATTGTTGTCATTAGTTACATTTGAACCGCGTTATGCATCACTTGACTAAGCGACAAATGAACAATGTTGAAAAAAACGGAATTTTCGTTTTCATCTCTCTAAAAATATAAAACTTCTCAGAGTAGACAGGATTACATACAGTGTGTCCCCGGATAGGTGAAACGACTCTTATAAAATGTAAAATTTTGCGATATTAATTGTCATTTTTTGGGGTTTAGCCCTGCTTGGCGAAAGACTAATTTTGAACATATTTTCAAGTTTTAAAAAACAAGTGAGTGTTGACACTGAAGCGAAAACTCATTGTGTGTCAGATAAAACAATTTTTACCAAAGTAGGCCGATCATTCCGAAAATTTGCATATAGCCATAGTTTTTCATTCTGAACAAAACTTCTTAGTAACACTTTCACGTACTGTAAACAGAAAAGGTACTTTATCTGCCACAAAAAGAGTTTTTCTTTCACCGTCCAGGCTCACTTGTTTTTTAAAACTTGAAAATATGTTCAAAATTAGTCTTTAATCAAGAAGGGCCAAACCTCAAAAAATGAAAATTAATATCGAAAAAAAAAATTTTACGTTTTATAAGAATCGTTTCACCTATCCGGGGACACACTGTATATACAAGATCACATATCAATGTCAAAATCAGATTATTAGTTACTAATTTACAAAATTAAAGTTTAAAAACTTACTCTTTTTTGAACAAAAGAAATATTAAGAAACTTGGGAAGAATTCAAGAATCATCATCGACGATTTTTTCTTGATCAATGTGAAATTACCCAAAAAAACACGTTAAAAATAAAAAGAAAGTGCGGAAAAGTGACTAACACTAGATTAACTTCAGTTATAAACCTTCTATTATATGATAACTAACTTCAGGTTTAAAATGTCACCCTCAATTTTGACATATTTGTAATCTTCATTAGAAATCTTTTAAAATGAGTACAAACACGACCTATTTATCTTCAATATTAATGAAGTACATACACGTATCTGTAGTTGGAGTAGGTAGCAATGTACCAATATTGATTGGTATTTGTTTGAAATATACTACAAAGTGTAAACATTACTAGAAACATTTCTGACATTGTTGATAGTGGATATCTATGTCTAAACAACGCTTAAAATGTGTTTGGAGTAGATAGCAATATCCAAATATGCGACAAATGAATAGAAAAGAAACATATAATACTTCTATTATATGATAACTAATTTCAGGTTTAAAATGTCAACCTCAATTTTGACATGTTTGTAATCTTCATTAAAAATCCTTTAAAATGAGTACAAACACGACATATTTATCTTTAATATTCGTGAAGTTATGGTCAACTTCCGGTTAAGAATGTCAACGTCAATTTTGACATATTTGTAATCGTCGTGAAAAATCCTTTAAAATGAGTCCTAACATGATACGTTTCATTTCAATATTACTCGAGATATTAGCAACTTCCGGTTTGAAATGTCAATGTCATTTTGACATATTCTTAATTTTTATAAAATATCTTAATATTTGTCACAAAAACAAAAATATAAAAAAAAAAAATCAAAAATTAAGGTTGGTATTAATATTTAAAAATTAAATTGCTATCTTCATTGTTGCTAACTTCGGGTTTAATGTTTTTTATTCTAACTTTTTTGTTTTTTGAGATAAGTGCGTCATGTTTGGACTCATTTTAAAGGTTTTTTTAATAAAGAATACATCATGAAAGAACACCATGAAGTTGTCCATTTGTCTATTATATGATAACTAACTTCAGGTTTAAAATGTCAACCTCAATTTTGACATATTTGTAATCTTCATTAAAAATCCTTTAAAATGAGTACAAACACGACATATTTATCTTCAATATTAATGAAGTTATGGTCAACTTCCGGTTAAGAATGTCAACGTCAATTTTGACATATTTGTAATCGTCGTGAAAAATCCTTTAAAATGAGTCCAAACATGATACGTTTAATTCCAATATTACTCGAGATATAAGCAACTTCCGGTTTGAAATGTCAATGTCATTTTGACATATTCTTAATTTTTATAAAATGTCTTAATATTTGCCACAAAAACAAAAATTTAATTAAAAAAAATTAAAAATTAAGGTTGGTATTAATATTTGAAAATCTAAGCTATCTTCATTGTTGCCAACTTAGGATTTAATGTTTTTTATTCTAACTTTTTTGTTTTTTGAGATAAGTGCGCCATCTTTGGACTCATTTTAAAGGTTTTTTAATGAAGATGACAAATATGTCAACATTGACGTTTCAAACCGGAAGTGATTGTATTTCCATTAATATTAAAGTTAAATATGTTGAGTTTGGACTCATTTTAAAGGATTTTTAATACAGAAAATGATGGACAATTAAACTTTCTAGACTTGAATATCAACAAAAATTTAGATAAAGTCTCGATTTTAACATTTTTAGACAAAACACGTTCACCGACTGCATCATACCATCTGACTCATATAACTGCACAACATAAAACGGCCAGTTTTAGATTTGCATTCCATCGACTCTGTAATAATCCGTGTTAAACAAACCAAATTACATTTCAGAACTCAAAAACATCATAAAAAGCAAAAAATAGGCCTTAATAACAGATTTAAACTTAGAGACATACAGAAGATTTATAATTACAAAACACCACCTAAATACATTTCAATTCCATTTAATCCTGGATTACAGTTTAAAATTAAGAAAAACCTTTCCAAACACAATCTCACACCAGCTTTTATCGCCAATAACAAACTAAGTCAGTTAATTACTAATAACAAAAACACAAATTCAACCAGTTAGAACTTAATGTAGTTTACGAATTAAGATGTAATGAATGCGAACATTTTTACATAGGTCAAACTGGTAGAAGCCTTAAAACCGGAATCAAAGAGTCTTCCACCTTCTTTAAGCATTTAAAGAATAACAACCATACATCTTTTTTGGAAAGCGCCAAATTTCTCAAGAAAATTAAAAAATCTAGAGAACTGGACCTCTCTTACAAGGAATATTTTATACATATTAATAATAAAAGTGACAATGATTTGCTATTAAATGACATAACAGAATTCAACAAATATAGGAATTTCCTTAAATTTATCTATACTGTCACTGCCACTAGAACTAACACTAGACCAAGAACTAGAAACGTTGGGATTTGGTCCCACGTCTCTCAAAACGGCTAAACCCGAATGATTCTAGTTCTAGGTCTTGTGTTAGTTCTAGTGATAGTGCTAATGTATGTTTTAGTGCAATAAATATATGCAACATAGTAATATCTTATGCTAACTAGCTAAAATGGATAAGATGAGAGATATTAATCTATTTGTAAAGTCTCTGAAGATGGCCAAGGACCGAAACTAGTTAAACTTAAATTCTATATAAAATAAAAGACAAACTTTATAATAAACTTATAATTTCATCTATTTTTGACACGTGTCGAACACTTAATGAGAGATGCCTAACAAACCTAACACCCATCACAAGGAAAAAATTTCAAAAAATTGATAAAGATTTTCTTAGTTCTGGACATATCAAGACCAAAAGTTTTACCATAAATGGTAAAAAAATTTCCAAATTCAATTTAATAATAAATTTATATTTTTACATTGGAGGTCTTGGGTTTTGATGATAATTCTGGACCTAGTAGGTTTGTCTAAATCTAATTATTGTCATTAATTTTTTGTTTTAATTGTTTCATTTATTTGATATTGTTTATTACTTTTGGTAAATAAAAGCTAATAAACTAAAAGATTATCAATCATAGCTAATAGTAGAAATAATAATAGAAATAAATCAAACGAAAAACTGTCAAAATGTCATGGCCATCTAATAAAAATACAAACAGTTTCCTGCATTTCCTGCATGTTTTGATAAATTAATTATAAATAAATAGGTATAGGAACGTTTATAGATAAATTGTAGAGAATTAAAGTCCCTTTCTGATAGGCTAAAAAAATATGGGGCGTTACATTTAAAATTTTCGACTTTCTCACCATTGCATATGGAAAAACAATAATTCATTTTTTGACCACCCTGTATAAGATACACCAATACAACAAATAACAATCTATTTGACAGCATCTTAAGAGTAATCGAGCAAATATAGAGCTTTCTTGAATGAAGGTTGGCTGAGCTATGGGGTTTTAAAGAGCATGGTGAAATTTGCCAAAAAAGCTTAAAACCAAAATAACTCGAAAACGAAAAACGCTAGGTACCAACACCTTTTATGAAAGTCAACATATTTTTTTAAGTAAAATTGAAAGGTCCAATAAAAACTATAGCATTCCATTTAAAATAACGAAGTTATGGTCCACTTCCGGTATACCGGAAGTGGCAGCCATCTTAAAAATATTTTATATCGAAAGTTCCGAATGAAAAATCGATGCTACCAAAATTTCAAAACTGTACAAATAGTAGAACCTAAAAAAGTTCTAACGAACCAGTTACATGAGACACCCTGTATAATTACTCACCTGCTACTGAAGCTGCTTTTGAACTAGAATCCCGATAAGTTCCATTAATAATAGCGAGTTCCATTAGCTGCCGTTTCTTTAATTCATCTTCACCATCAGCTTGCTATTAAAAACATTTAAAATTAAAAAATTCAATTAAAAAAATGATATATTTACAGGCACTAAAAGTTTCTTAACTTCTTCAACAGCCCTTTGCAATTTTAATTGGGCCCTATTTTCTGTGTCTTCAACAGTCAAAAGAACATGGAGTTCATCTTGAAGGTGTTCCCAATTCGGTTTACCTCTATTTTGATCTTCCTATAAGAAATAATCGTTAATGAATACAAATTAAATTAAATAATGTTTAAAAAAATTACCTTCTTTTTATCTCTCATTGAACCTTTTCCTCTAACCATAATTTTACACCCCGTTTCTTGTTCAAGTTGTTTTGCAGTCATTCCTCTTGGTCCCAATATCCTACCAACGAAGTTAAACTAAAACAAAATTATTTATTATTATTTATTACGAGGAGGACGTTTTACGAACATTAATCGACGTCAAATCGTTACGTAAGGATACATGCCAATAGAGGAGAAACAATAGGAAAGAGGAAATGCATAATAGTGTTGTGTTTTGTATTAATTCATTGTTTTCATTACCCTCGTTTTTGTAACAAAGATCTTTTTAATGGAATTAACTATTTTTAGATAAACTTACGTCCGGGTGTTCTTTTACGGGGACATACACCTTCTCCGTAAGTGTGGTCACTGTACCCTCAGGTTCCGGCAACACCAAAGGCTCCTTCTTCACTCCATTTATTTGAAATAAACTTGCTCGTACTTTGGCAATTTCTATAACAAAAAGAAAATAATTAATTAAATAAATATAATTTTGATTTTGAATGAAATTGAGGTTATGTTAACAAAGAATAATTTTAGTGCCAACCCCAAAATTAAAAAGTTACTAAAAAAACTATTTTTAGCTTGAAATCTTTTTGCTAAAACTTAATAAATCAATTTAAGTTAATTGTTTGCGTTATTAAAATAAAGATAATGATAATAACTAATTAAATTGTTTTTATTTATTTCTAAAAATTTATTAAATAGGAAACAAGTAAAACCGCGCCATCTAGTTGACATTTCCTAAATAATTGTTTTAAAATAATTTTATAGGTTAGTTTTTATCAAAACATTTTTTAGCGTTATTATGGGTATGATAATAAATAATAAGTGAGGAAAGTTTGAAAAAAGAAAGAGATGAACGTGGATGGCGGAAGTAAATCTTCTCTGGAAGGTATGCACGCTAATTCGCCGGTATCTCGGCCAGTTTGGACGCGACGAACTCCCGCGACGTCTCCTTCAGGCACTTCCACGCGTAAACAACCTATTTATAGTCGTCGAGATGGTAAGAACGGGTAACTTCCCCAAGTAAACGGCCGAGAAACGACCAGATGCCGGCGCGTTTAAAGACCAACACATCGCCGTAGCCCGAGAGAGGAGTCTAAACACGCCCAGATTTCCAGTCGTGACTCAAGTATGTAAAAGGAGGTATGCGATATGGTCAGTGGCGTACACAAATTCTTTCGTTAAAAAAATTTTACTTCAAAGTTTTATTTTTAAATAATTTTTTTGACAGTTCATAAATCTAACCTCACTTTTAATAAAATGATTTTGATTTAAATTTAATTATCATAATCAATAAAATGAATAATGATGATAATAATAATAATAATGATTATTACTATATTGATTTATACAATAATATGAAAAAGAAGTTTAATATTAACACAGATAAATTGGTTATTGAAATTAAATTTTTTTTTGTAGGTTGGCATCAATTTTAATTGACAACTAATGTCAAATCATCTGATCTAAATCATAAGATTTCTTGTAATTTTTAATGTTATGATTAATTATAGGTTACGCCACTGGTAAAATAGTAGTGTTACACGAAGAAAACGGACTTCTGTCGTATATCGAGGTTAGTGCAAGCACCGCGTAAGAATATAGATGCCCGTCGGCCGTCCATCGGTTGGTTTTCCTTTTCCAACCAGCGTCCCCTTCCAGCGTTGCCGGATTGTTTCGAATGTGTGTCACCGACGGCCCCCCTCACGGGGCCCAGAGAAATTCAACAACGTCCGTATGTTGTGGACGCTGTTGTTGTTGCAAGTCCGAATTCGAATCCCGCACTAAAAACAATACCCCGACACAAGTTTCCAACAACAATAGACGAAACACACAAAATAATCTTAAAATCAAAAAAGAATTAATGTAAAAAGTTGCATAATAAACGTCATTTTGACATTTGAAACGTCAAAAATGATTTGATAGGTTATATTTTTTTTCTAACCTGAAAATATATTCCGTGTATGAGTCAAGTGGAGTTGGGTTTGGTTACTTGGTACTCAACCGATATAAATATACATCGTTTGAATTCAAAGCGGTAATTTAAGCTGTGTTTCATAGAGAGTTGCTGCGCAGTTCGAATCTCGCGTAATTAAATCAGACGCGCTCTCGCATATGGTTTCAATATTTGAGAATCTGTCTCTTCATCTTCTCCCTGTCCCCTTTTAAGCGTCCGTAAGAAATTGTGGGAATCAAAAACGACCCACTTTGATAAAAAAACTCTTCATCTCGAGATCTTTCCATCCTGGATTGTCTATTAACTTTTTAAAACTTGAAACGTTTATATATTTATGACTTGAATGTGTTAAATCTGTTTTAGAAATACAAACGAACCAAAACGGAAATTTGAGCAACGCTTAAGACATCCTGTATCATCGTTATGTATACAAATGGAAGTGTTACAAATGAAATATGTTGAGGTTAAAAAATAACTTTTTAAGATAACTTAAATTGAATTATTCGATAATTGGTTTAGAAAACGAGTCGACAATAAACTCTAATAGTAGAATTGGCCCCAATTTAACGGTTAGCTGCAATTATTAACCGGAATGGTAAAAGGGTGGCGCTCCCATGTATTTTGAAATCATTAAGATGATCATCGGACGGTGTAATTGTTCACCCACATAATAATATAAAAAGAAAACGTTTTAAAAACCCAACCCTTTTCTTAAATTTAACGATGATTAATTTTATTTGTATTTCTTTAATTTCTTTTTAGCGATCAAAAAGTGGAACGTCGCTGATCTTATAACGAAATATTCCCTGAACGTTGAAAATTTACAAACACGGTTCTATGTTTAAACCGTTATTGTAAGCCTTTCGGGTTATTTTTAGTGTTCAGACGATGTAGTGTTCGAAATTTTAGAAGAAGAGAGACGATAATAAGAAGGAACGGGGCGGAAATCGCGTCGAAAAATCCTTAATTACAACCGGAGTTAGAGTTAGAAGAAAACTTAAAATAAAATTTGTATTCATATCACAAGATTTTACCAAATCCAGTTATTTTTTTGCTTCTTTTTTTCAGATTAGATAAGAATCGCTTTAAAGGCGTGTGTCAACATACAAATGATTCAAATACACAAATTTGACTACTTTAAAAGCTACTTCTATCAACAAATATTAAAAATTGTACTTTATATTTATTTATTTATTTATTTCAGATTGTTTATTAGGAAACAACAAAACGTAGTTTCTCTCCGTTTTAAATAAGAAGTAGGTCAGGTACTTGTAATTAAACAGCCGGCAATTGCCTATTGTCTTGAAAACGGAAAAGAAAATCCTGCAACAACATTTTTCCTCAAGAATTCTTCAACGTTTAATTAAATTTTTAAAAAAAGTTATTTTTTATTTTATAAATTTTCTTAGCTATGATAGAACTCTCTATTTATATCTCAACGATAAAGAGTTAAATTATTCGTTACTCACGCACTCAGGTTAATAATAAATAACTTGAGTACATACGCGGGAATGGTGTTTGGAAATTTCCCGTATAAATACGCTCCCCGTTTGACGATTTTGAAATGAGAACCGAAAAGAAAAAAAAAAGTTCTTGGACGTACTCGCGGAGTATTAGCTAAGTACAGTTTTGGTTGCACAATAACGTTTTGTGAAAGTACGCCGCTTTTCCGAATTTGGTAAAGGCACGTAGATCGACTTTGTATATGTAATTTAAACGATGTACAAACGTCTTCAAACGATTTCCCGACTCAAAATTAACTATTAAAGGAAAAAATGTACTAATTTAATATAAAAAATAAGTTGTTATAATTTTTAATAAAAAATGACAGTTAAAACGTCAAATATGCTTTTTAATAAGCTGATTTGACTTTTTAGTACAACAAATAAGATTGAGTCAAATTAGCGTTTAGAACTGGTTAAAATGTCATTTGTGATTAACCTTAGTTTAAAAATTGAAATAAAATGAGAAGAATTCGTGATAAAATTCTCTAAATTGATAAAAAAATAAAATCAAGAGGAAATGACTTAATTGGTAACCGGGCCAAGACATTAGGTGAATATAAACAAGTTCTAATGAATTACAGCAATAATGTTCTTAAGGCAAAAAGAGAGTTTTGAAAGAGGTTCTGTGAGGGAGTGAAAGACACACTCAGCAGTGCAAGAATTCACAAGATTCTTGGTCAAGATCCGGCATTGCCCCTGATGGCAGTTTTACGGATTCCAGCAGAGGCTCGTTAGAGCTTCTCATGCAGACTCACTTCCTAAGAAGCTTGATGATGGGGCTAATAATGTAACAGCGGGCTATTCCTGCATGGCAAAGTGCCCCTCAAATACGGATTGGAGTGTGGCTAGAAAAGCTGTCATTTGCATATCCATACATTTAAGCCCGGAGAAGACGATATCTTTCCATCAGATTTGTAAGAAAGAAATTTTAAGAATCTACGATGGACTCGATCAAGGCTTAAGAACTCACATGCATATAAGGGACTCCAAATCAGGCAAGCGTATTCTAACTTATTCAGAACGTAAGCACAATACAAGGTCTTTAATAAGCTAACACTTGTGAAATATTTAGACATACGCATCACAAAACCACATATGTGTTTTAAAACTAAGACTTGCATTAAACAGGACTCCTAAATCCCTGTACTCCTCAACACGACTTAAAGTGCTGGCAGCAATATTGTAAGGATATATGCATGGTGACGAGCATCGGCTATAAGTAAGTACACAACACTTATCTATATTAAGGTTAAAGATCTTGATATCATCAGCATACCCCAAAATCCGACAATCAATTTTTAGAAGTAAGTCATTTATGAAAAGAACAAATAATAGAAGACCCAAATTTGATCCATGTGGAACTCCTGAGGTAAGAGTGAACTTATTAGAAAAATATCCATTGTAAGCCACATAACATTTTCTATGTTGCAAATAAGAGACCAGAAGTTGAATTGCTAAAGGGACAAATCCGAAAGAGCTCAATTTATGCAGGAGAATTCTATGGTCAATCAGATCAAAGGCTTTGAATAGATCAGTGTATACAACATCCATGCCTGTCCAAGGTGCTACAGATAAAAATATCGTAGCCAAGTTGGTAATTGTAGAGCGACCAGAAACAAAACCATGCTGGGAAGCTGACACAAAGGAGCGTGTGCTGGTGTACATAAAAGAATATAATAACATTTCAAATAGTTTAGCAAAATTGGAAATTATCGAAATTGGTCTATAGTTTGAGAGGGACGTACGATCATACGGTGCCACTAGTATCTGGTCCGCTGAGTCGCCACCAGTACGCTTATCAAGCGGGAAAGTCAGCAGAATTGGCTCTACACAACTTGGTTGGTAAAGTATTCAGGACGCTCCAGGATAAAGAGATCTTAATTTGTTCGTTTTTGGATATAAAAGGTGCGTTCAACATCGCAATCCCATAATCTTTTGAAAGAGCTGCTTTTGACATGGGACTGAAATCCCCTGCTTTGGTCCCT